GAGTACTTCTGCGGCCATCTTCAGAGCTTAGGTTTAGTACTGATGTGGTTTGGGTTCAATGTCTTTAGCTGTTGCACTCCCACAATAGCTAAGGAATTAGTGTTCTGCATCCTAGAACAGTTGCTGCCAACTGTCTGTTCCTGCAGTGAGAGAGTTCAGACTCGGCAAAGCAAGCAACTCTGGCTCCCGACTCTTTGTTTCTGCAGAGGATGCTCACTGGGGTGATGGCTTGAGTGCCAAAGGGGCACAATTAAATATGCTCTGAGTGGTTGGGTGCCTGGCTCTGTCCCTTGAGAAGCTGCTGGTGGTGGTAGTGGCTGCCCCTGAGGCAGGTGGGGCTCAAACCCTGAACCTCCAACTCTGGAGACATGTCTCCAATCTATGGCTGCGTGCACTATCCCCTAGTCCATTTCAGAACCCATCCCACCATCCTGCCTTATCCCACCTTCCACATACAGGAGCCGCCTCAGTCCCTGGGGCAGCCTGTGTTGGCTGCCCTGGCCAGGATGAGACCTTTTCAGTGTTGGAGCGTTGCCAGAAAGCCTGTCTGAACAACTCCAACCTGTCACCCAGGGTTTTGCCAAAGAATTTGTAGTCTCTGGCTTGAGAATTCCAAGAGAAGAGCGTTTCTCTCCTTTCAGCCTGAGGCTGAGGCTGCTGGTACCTTCTCACTTACAGCTTGGGTGCAGGCAGACTTCTCCGAAGGGTGACCCCTGTTTGGAGCAGCAACCTCCTGTGGAGAGTTTGTCTAGAGGAGACGGGTTATTGACCAGGAGTGGAATGTCCTCCCAAGAAGTGCTGTCATCCAGGGCTGCAGGCAGGTGATGAAGCATTTCTTGGGCTCATTTTGGGAATTTCCTTTCAGCCGTGATTGGCTCGCAGTCGTCCTTGCTTGTAAAAGCTCTGGACCCATCAGGGGAGCAGAGACCAGAGGAGTGAAGGGAACCTGCCAGATGTTGCTTAGGGAACAGAGGAGAGAATTCTCCTGACCCAGAGCAGCCTCCATGTGTCAGACATGGCAATGCTGAGGCTGGGCAGCAACAGGGGAGCAGTGGCAGATAAATGGGCAGTGGTCTGACCCCCCACGCCTTGGTTAAGATAGACCTCCCTACTGCGTAGCTAGCCCTGTGGTCAGCCCCGTGGCGGGGCCTGCTTTGCACCGTGTGTGTCACTGACACGGGACACAGATGCCTCTTGAGTGGGGGCCAGAGATCAGAAATCCCAGCGATCTGGAGGCCAGCTCCCAGAGGAAAGGCTTTCAGGGGCGGTGAACCCTGGCACTCGGGTAACATCTCCAGGAGCGTCACGTTCTCTTTTCTTGGAATGGGCACATCAGAAATCCCTTCCCCCCCTTCCTGTTCCTTTGAGCACTTGCCTCTCTTGGGGGGCGGAGAGGAGAGCAAACTGCAGGCCCACGATGCCTTGGCCTCCCCCTTGTGTGAGGGGTGGATTTTTGCCCAACTGGGCCCCACAATTAGACCCTCAGCCTTGTCCCTCCAGCTGTGATCAGGAGGCTCCAGACCAGCTGGCTGAGGCTCAGATCACATGAGCTAGCACCTCTGAGACTCCATATTGCTGCATGCTTGAGCATGGTCCGTTTGGAAGGAAGTGCCTGGTGAGGAGCAGAATAATCCTGCTTTGGAAATGTGCGGGGCTGCCAGGGCAAGTCCCGGCATACTGACCCCTCTCCCAGCAGTGCTGGTTTGCAGAGGCTGCTTGGGAAAGCTGATTGCCGAGGTTTTCGTGAGAGACACCATCAGGGCACCTTGAGGTGCCATTGACTAGGAAGGAGGCAGGCTTGCTGGCTGCGTGCGTGCGTTCCGAGGGGCAGCGCTGCCTCCCAATCGGCTGGCTCAGTCTGTTTCGGCAGAGTTGAGAGGGAGGTCACCAGATACCTTTTTATAGCCCTCTTGTAACTGCAGAAACAAGATGAGCATGCTAATTTGGTGTGTTCCTCTAGCCCTGTGCCTAGAGGGAGAGGAAGCTCTTTCCCCAGCCTCCGCTGTAAGCTGCTGCTATATAACAACAACAATTAGCTACAAAAACTAACGAACCTCTGTTGCTGTTGAATAAACACTGCCGTTAATCATGGACCGCAGAGCTAGGAGCAATCTCTTCGGTTGCGGAGACCATTTCCCTTCTGTGTGGCGTTGCTCACTAGGCACATCTGACTTGTGCACAGGCACGTCCAATTTACAACACCCCGAATACTGGCTCCTCCCTTTGCCTCAGGAGATTCATACCACTGCGTAGATTTCGCTGTCATTTGCCCAGACATTTAGCCTAAATGTTTCCAGCTTCAGTTCAATCCCATTACTCTGCAGTTAAACACAATGTTACCTTCGGCATGGTTTCGTCTCCCTTCTGATAGGCTGCACCTGTCGTGTGTGTGTGTGGGGGGGGGAGATGCCTCTCCCCACCCTCATTTAACCGAACCTCGTATGTTTCCCTTGGGCAAATGGTTCCTTCCAGGCTCCGAGTCATTTTGCACCTTTCTGAAAGCCACCTCGTTTGGTTAGTGCTCTCGGGGCTACTGATGGCAAGAACAGAATAGAAGCGTGCACCCCTACCGCTGGCTCAGTGCTGGTTGTGCCATATGTATCTGGTGACTTTAAGCCAGACTTTTAATTTTCAGTAATCCAAGCATGACCCCAGACATGCACTGCCTTTCCTCTAAACCTCTGTACCAGGATTGTCATTCCAGCTGCCTCTCAGCATTCGGTGTCTGACAACTGGCCATACTGTGGCGCTATTTGTATTTATGGGTAATTTACAAGGTATAATCCCTGCTTGTAAAAGCCCCTTTCTCACTGGGTGAATGTGCCTGTTTTTAAGGATGTGGAAAACCCAAGCTCTGTTGCATGCAAATCTCGTGCTTGTCTCTGCTCTCTTGGGACCCTCCCAACTGCTCCAAAATAATTTTCACTTGCTCAGGATGCTGACCTCATTTCCTTAATGCTCTAATTTGCATGTGTTCTAAACCAGCTGATTGGTCTCTTCACATTCCCTAATTGCCCCCTCCCCTCCTTTATCAACAACCATTTCTCCTGGGGTTAATTTTATTTCTAAACAGGCCTGCAGAGCTCATGGGCTTTTTATTTTTTAGACAAAACATGGGGGGGGGGGCTTTAATTTTGCATCTCTGGATGAAGTG